TGTGTGTGTGTGTGTGTGTGTGTTCCCTCAGGCTTGTGTTTGTTGTTGGGATCCAAGCAGCCGAAGATGACGATGATCATGTTCTTAACCTTTTTGAAAACAAGCTCAGAGAGGTTTACTTTGTGTATTTTGTGTAAAAGTGTACAATGGTTGTGTAACTGTGTTTACACCTGCGTCTCAGATGAAAAGTCACAAAGTCACAAAAGAAGTTTATTGTTCAGATAATAAAACTGAATAATTGTAGAGTGTAATCATGTACAGACCTGCAGTAACAGTAACACACTGGACAAATACAATAAAACTAAATCTGGATCTTCTCATCAACAAAGAGCAAATATCACATTAAATTATCAGACACTGAAAAACTACATTACCCATCATGCAGTGCACCAGACCTCCATCCAGCTTTTGAAGCGGCTGAATTCTGTAAAGATAAAACAGAAATATCTGAAACATTAGAATTTAATATTCATGTGTTGAATAAACCACTTCAATAACTAGAGTGCAGATTATTGGAGGGAAGCTTCAGTTGCTCATTCACTCACTGAGCACTTTATTAGGAACAGCTGCTTATTCATGCAATTATCAAACTTTGAGTGTCGGCCGCAAATGATGTTGTGTTTTGATGTGTCTTGGAAAAACCATAAACTGTGAGGTGGTTCGATTCTGTTTGATTCTTTTAGTGGCAACATTCTAAAATAAGAACCTGTCACTGCAGTTTGTTTTCAGATAAATGATGAAGGATTTCTAACTCTTGGGTTTTGTTCGTCTGCTCCTCAGTTTCTTCTCTCAGGTTTGCCACAGCTGTTTCCGGCGTCAGGCCAATCTGCACCGCTGTGCTCAGTGTAAGTTTGCTCACTACTGTGACCGCACCTGCCAGACGGCATGCTGGGACGAGCACAAGCAGGAGTGTGGAGCCATCAAGAAGATCGGGAAGGCGCCCGGCGAGCACGTCCGGTATGTAAAAGAGACCGTGCTGCAGGTGTGTGTGTTTGTGTGTGTTTGTGTGTGTGTTGGATGTAGAACAGGTTGTTGGAAATGTAAACACAAACATCCATGTCGGCAAAGGGTGTGGACCTGACACTGTAAATAAATAATAAATAAATAAAGTCTCCACTTCCTCCGGAAAAGAAGCTAAAACATGTCATCTTGTGGTGATGACATCATTGTGAGTCAAATCGTGGTATCGAGGTCCCGCCCCCCAGTGTCAACTGTCAATCAAGACGTCTGTTTCTATATCATTAAATAACTGATTAAACCAAACTGATGAGAAACTTGAACAAACATCAGAGAGATGAGAACGAGCTTCTACTTTGACTCTTTAGTTTGGTCCACGTCCCATCTGCTAACATGGAGGAGGAGGAGGGGTTAATACTACAGCTAAACACCAGGGGGCCATTGAAATAGTTTAGCTTGACTTGTATGAGCCTTCATGGCGTCCACAGTTATTTCCAGTCAGTGGGACGCTCACCTCAGATCTTGTGTCTCTCCTTCAGTCTGGCAGCTCGAGTCCTGTGGCGTATTCACAAGAGCTCGGGCGTGGCGTCAGACAGTCAGCTGATCTCTGTGGACCAGCTGGAGGACCACGTGTCCGACCTGCCCGAAGACGACCTCAAGCGGCTCAAGGCCGACGTCAGCACCTTCTTAGAATACTGGTCCCACGGAAGAAAGAAGCACTCGGCCGATTACATCTCACACATCTTTGGCATCGTTAGTTTGATTATTAATATTTTTATGATGAGACTTGATGAACGAGAACATCAGTCAGAGCTCATTCCTGTCACTCACAGATATCAGAGCTCTAAATATAGATCCATGAATCATTCCACCCCCCCCCCCCCCCCCCCCCCCCCCC